AGTACGCCAACCTCTTTTTTCCGCACTCGTATATTCTTCTCACCGTCTCCGGATTTGAATAGGACGAGCAAGCAGAGGGTAACGTCGTTGGTTTAGATCTTCAGTCAGGAGAGCCGTTCGACCCTACAGTAGAAGGCATATGGGACAATTATCGCGTAAAGCGCCAAATGCTGAACTCATGGTACGTCGTCGAGCTCAATGCCTAGGGTAGCGCTTGCTGAACAACTTTGAACTACCAGCTCGGTCATTGCAATCAACCTGCTATCGACAGATGAGATCCTTCGAGCCGGCCGGTCAATGACTCGTGAAGGACCTCAGTAAATGACGTATCTAGTGTGAATGTAGGTAACAGTGTGGATCGAACATGGTGGATCCTTTTTATAGTGCGTTGACAAGACTCGATCCGGGTCGATCAAGCTGCGGACGGTGGATTTGAATTGGGACAGATTAAAGGAACGTTAGAAACATCGGCGCAAGATGGCACCCCGTGTTGCTTGCAGCCTTGCCGCCTATTTCGTTCGTTTATGGCCCCCGAGCTTGAGATGATCGAGAGGGGTCCGATCTTGAAATATCAAGTTATTTGAATCTCACAGCGCAAGAGAATACATGTGAGAGGCGTACGATCAAGGGCGACACTTGCCAAGCTGAGGCCCGTCGAGGCATGCTGGACGGAAATCACTTCTGCAGTGACTGCTAATTCTCATGGCCTTACGCAACTTGCAGACCTCCGCCTATTTGGTTCGCATCCTGGGATATGTTTGTGAGAACTCATCTGGTTCGATGCTTCGGGGTCATTATAAACCATACACTGCCCAGGGTGGTCCCTCTAACCAATTAGGAGGACGAGAAATCTGAAACTGGACGTCATTATCAAATATACAGACACCGACTTTTTGTGGACTTCGATACCCCGAGTAATTTCGAGGTCGGGGGTTTGGACCCCCGAGGGAAGCCCGGTTCCTCGGCTTCGCGGGCGCTTGCCCGACTATGGTTTGTGGTAACCGACGGCATCGTGAGGTCCACCTCTTCACACATGAGCTTTCATTGGTCCCTTCCCGGTTCGTGCTGTCCGTTTTGGGGTTCGATGGGCTTGTGAAGTAGGCGCTAGGCGGACGACTGCTCGACCTTCCGCGTAAACAATTGCTGCAAGAACGAGACCTGCATCTTGAATATCCAAATAAGGCGTTTGCTTTACGCGAACAAAAGACTTAAACCACCGAACATATTGCCAAGATGGTGATACGAGGTGTATAAATACCTGGAATTTGAGGAGGTCAACGATTACCAGCAAGCTCCTCCTGCAGCATTCCAAGCAACAATCGACTCTCGAATCAGCTATCAGCTCAAACAACTTCTCACATCTCACATCATGTTCTCTGTTCAGCAGCTCGCTCTCGTCTTCGCCTCGGCTGTCACTATCGCTTCCGCGGCCGTCGTTGCTCCTCGTGCGTCGTGCAGCGTCGACTGGGCTTGTCCCAGCCTTGCCGGTTACCCTGCTCCGTACTACAAGGGGTACAACGACCAGGCTTCCGCCAGGAGTGCCGCTACTCTAACGATCCAACCACCGGATACGCGAGATGCTTCTACAACCCGACCACGGTATGTCCGCGAACTTACTAGCTTAACTTCGCTGCCAGCGTGACCCACCTAACAAACGATGAAATCATACAGGGCGTCAAGCTTAGCGGTGTTGGTACGATTGGCTGCGCGTCTGCCGCCATCTGTCCTGTCAACTGCAGCAGCTGGGCTTGCCAGCCTTTCAATGGCTATCCTCCAGCTTACTACTTTGGCTTCAACAGCCAAGCCAACGCCAACGAGTGTCGCTGGAGCAATGACCCATCTACTGGATACGCTAGGTGCTTCTATGATGTCACTACGGTGCGTGGTCGAGCCATTTGTTTGGTGTATTCCTAGTCTGATCCTCTAACGTTGAACCAGGGCGTCAAACTCAACGGAGTCGGAACCATTGGTTGCCCAGACCACGCAACTTGCGCGTAAGCTGTGGATAAATTCGGAGTTAGATCTTCAGCTGCGTGCCCCGAATGTTTGACAAATAATCGTGCTCGAGAATGTGATTCCCCCATGGACTTTGGAAGAGCGAGTGAGCGGTGCCTGACCGCGTCTGGAAGTAAGGACCGGTATCGTAACAACTTCCCACCACACAAGAAAACACTGGGTGCTGGCCCGCGCCGGACGATATGTCTGACAAAATGACAGCCTTCCGCGATCAAATAGCATCCAACTATTAGATACATAAGAATTAAGAGTTCGAGGCGACCTCCTTCGAAGGAGAAGGGCTCGATCGTGTAAAAGGTGAATCTTGGTACATCTTCATGGCCTTTGGCAGGAGACTGTCGATATTCTATATGGGGAAGAACAATTCAGTCTGTTGAGAGCCTTTAGGAGCTTTTCATTTAGATGCAACTAACTCTCTGTCGCTGAAGGGATGTGGGGTGGGTTTTGAGGAAAGGCACGCGATCTGTAATTGAAATGGGTTCCCCTGACGCGGCTGCCTCCTCCCTAAACGCCGGATTCAATTGAAATCAGTCAAAAAGGTCTGGAAGCGCCGAGGTAACGGAGCTATATTTCACTTACTCGACCAAAGCCATAACATCCCATAGGTCCAGCATAGAGTTTGGGTGGTAACCGGCCATCGACATGAATCGCAGTCCGACAGCATCTGCTTCCATCTCCAGCTTCCGTGAATACGCCTTGCTGGCGACGTGATTGTGAATTAGGTTTAGCGCGGAGCCCATAGCGTCTGTAATTCTGCATTGCAAGGGTCTCTCGTCAGAAAAGCAGGAAATTCCGTCGCGCGTTGATAAACGCACAGAGGGAATGAGATTGTGAAGGCGAAGGAAATCCCCCGAAGACAGTCGAATGCTAGAGCAGCTAAGCTGAGGAACTGGATGTGTATTGTGAACAAGTCAGCCAGAGAAGGTATTCGAGACTTGCGGTGTAGTTTCAGCTTACACCAGCCTAGCAGAACAACACATGTGTATTGGTTAGAAACATCCCAGAGCGAAGGATTGATCAAGCATAACGTACATTTTCCACCGCATGTCTTTGGGTCTAGATACGAAACCAGTAAAAAGGGAGAGCGGGAATGCCAGGTTTAGTCGACAACACGTTCTGTTGGGGAGGTGGATGACGACATACCACATGTGCGATCTCATGGGCAATAACGCCTGAGAGCAGGGCATCATCGTTCAGAAGATCGATCAGTCCCCGGTACACGAAGAGCTCCCTCGTGGGCAAAGCAAAGGCGTTAATCTTGGGCTATGAAAAAGGGAGGGCACGGTAAGCCCTCAGCCAGGTCCCCGCCCAGAGATCCCCAAAACACACATACCAAATCAATCACGTATATCTTCCAATCCTGCTCCGTAAAGACCTTGTTCGGATTGCTCGATTCCAGCCTGTGAGGCAGCAAATGGCTGGTGGCCACGGCGCTCGGCTCGTATTCCTCGCTAGGCCGTTTTCGGTTGGGTTGGTTGGGCCGAATCTTATTGCTCTCCCCGCGGAAGAACTCTTCGTAGAAGGAGGGCGATAGCGACGTGGGCCAAACGGCGGTTGAGACGTAGTGCGATGGCAGAGTGCAATCGTCGCCTAATACAGCGATAATGCGTTCGGCTACCCGAACGGCCTGAAGAACGAGTTTCCGAAGTTCCCGAAGATGAAAGCGAGGGATGTCAGGGATTTTTCAATTGAATTGAAGGAAGGGAGGTTGTTTCGGGGAAGTTAGACTTGGGTTCTTCAGCGGCAGTGATCCAAGCACGAGGACACTGACCATCTGTACCCGGGCATCGGTTGAAGGCATGATGAGGGGTCCTTCTTCATCTAAGCAGGCGTCTAATCTGCCATGTGTAGAGACAAAAGCGTTCAATAAGCTTTTATTCTTTCTTTTCGAGAATGGCACAAGTGATGCGCCAATCGTGAAGGACGACTGACCTGTGGCGGGCCCTGGAAACAAGGGAGGAAAGGTGAAATCGGCGATTAAATCGCATCGGGACACAAGGTCGGAAGCCACAATTGGGGTAACCGGGCATGGGAAGAGAAAGAACGAGTTTGAGGTGGCGTACATAACGACGACGGATTAGGCTTCTCATACCATTCTTGTTCCTCGCTGTTCGACATCATGAGGAGTCGCCACCTTCCCGTATTCGGAGCTTGGTCGGCTGCGAGGGCGATGACGATGCATACGGCCCATATCTGCGTAAAGATAGGAGGTCAAAGGGTATTTTTGTGACAAAGAAGGTGAGCAAGAACAGGTCTCGAGGGTTTTGCTTACCGGAATTTGTAACAAAGCTATGCTCGTTTTGGGCCACTTCTTCCAAAGACGATACCTATATCCAGTCACAATCAAGGCATGTGCAACGAGGCGGGTATCACAATCAAAGGCATTATACGCGGCCAGGGCCGCCGGCTTGAAACGCCTCACGTACCGGTACACAAAGGGAAGGACGAGCAGCGTCACGCGAGAGATATCCAACAAACCGGCTTTCAGTGCTGGGAATGCGATGAAAAATACGTCCTTTTTCGCAGGAGTCGTTCGAAAGAAAGCTTTGTGAAAGTTGAGATTCTGAGGAAGCTTGGAAAGAGTTGTCCGTCCCGTGCCGAGAAGTGGTCGGAAAGCTGCTTTTGAAGTAGATAGTGGCCTTGCGCCGTTAAATGGGCTGATAAATGACGAGGTGCGGCCGGTCCTTGTCGCTGAAGTTGCTGGTGGACGCAGTAAAGACCGTAGGGAGAGACTCGCTGGCCGCATGGTGGTGGGAGATGGTAGGTTCCGTCATTGCGTGTCACGTGGAAGGCCGGGGAGATTTGGTCCGGAAGGAAGACCGCGGTGGACGCTCAACATCTGAAAGCCACTGAAAGAGACCTATCCTCGGATTTTAGGGCTTAAAGGATCTGCGGAGACCATATACAAGCGAGGAGTGCAAAAACAAACGTCGAACCTCACTACATCGGCCACTCCGACTCCCCCCTCTGAAGCCAAGCAAAAGCGACAGCTACAGGATTCGAACCTGTGACCCAAATGGGATCAGATGCCTGAACATGCCAAATTCAAGTCTGACGCCTTAACCACTCGGCCAAACTGCCCTCTCGTCGATTGTCGCGAGTGGAGGTTAACGGGGGTGCACTGCGGGTCTGTGGGACCGCCAGGCCCGCTCGACCGGTGGCGACTTTTAACCTGCTCTCCCCGCGCAACGTACGTATATTCAAGAACATCTCACGGATCCATACTTATGTTCGGCGTTCGATGGACCGAGGTCGGAGGAGGGGGCGGACTCCGCCTGTATGCGCTGAAACGTTCGGCAGCTATAACAGGGGTTTGCGATGCCGTCGTCGTCGGGGCAAAGAACACGGCAACCGCCGATGGAACCTGCTCAGTGCCTTTCAAATATCGGAGAGCGCACTTCGAGAGAGCCGGAGACGTTGACGACGTTGAAAGATGTGGAAGCCATGGCGGGTTCTGATTGGGAGTGGAAGGTTGATGGTCGCTATCGAGCCGGCGGACAGGGATTGATGGGCAAAAAAGAAAAGAAAAAAGAAAAAAATCTCGACGAGCCCTGAGGATCTTTTATTTTTCCCTTGATTTTTTCTGTGTTTGTGTTGTGGTAAGGGAATTTTTGATCGGGGAAATTTATTCAGTCAGAAGTTGTCGCGCGCGCGTCCCAAAGTCCGGCCTTCTTTCTTCTTCCTGCGACCCCTCCCTTTCTCTTCTCCGCTCCCGTTTTACTACTTAGAACGCTCAAACACTCCCCGACCCACCCTCTACCTTCTCCCCCCCATCCATCCCCCCCATCCTTAATCGCGTTCCCCTCCGTGTCTCTTTTTTTGACCGCCTCTTCCGCTATATACTAGTCGTCGTCGCCGGTCGCGTCAAAGAAAAAGCTCTCTCTCTAGTTTCAATTCGAACCGCTCTTTTTTCTCTCCTTACCACCACCACCGCTTAGCACAAAAAATGGGTTGCGTCCAGTCAACACAAGGCGACGACGAGGCCAAGGCCCGTAAGTAGATTTCCAGTCGTCGGTGCGCTGGTCGCCTCGGTGCTCATCAAAACCGGGTCACTCCAAAAACGCCTTGGTCTCCCCCTCCCCGCCTTTTCACAGGAAACGACGAGATCGAGTCGCAGCTCAAGAAAGACCGTATGAATGCTAAGAATGAGATCAAAATGTTGCTTTTGGGAGCTGGAGAGTCCGGAAAGGTGCGATTTTCTGCGCCTTGATCGTTCTTTGTCCATATCTCGCCTTTCACTTTGGACCGCGTCCCCTCTCGCCCCGCTCTTCCCCCATTCCCTCTCCGGACACACTCGAGTCCACGACGCTAACCACCTCTCCCTTTGATCCCACATGGCAACAGTCGACAGTCCTGAAGCAGATGAAGCTCATCCATCACGAAGGGTGGAACGACCAAGAGCGAGAGAGCTACAAGGAGATCATCTATTCAAACACCATCCAGTCCATGCGTGCTATCCTCGAAGCCATGCCCGTCCTCGACATCAGCTTGAACCCGGCAAACGACGCCCGCCGTTCCGTGATTATGTCGTTACCCGGTCAAATCGAAGGCGACCATCTGCCCCGAGACGTTGCCGATGCCGTCAGGGGGCTTTGGGCCGATGGTGGTGTCCGGGAAGCCGTAAGGAGGAGTAGGGAGTTCCAATTGAACGATTCCGCTACCTAGTACGTCGCCTATCGTCTTGGTCATGGCGCGACGGTTGCTCACAACATCGCCTTGCTTCTTTTCTTTGCACACAGCTACTTCAACGCTTTGGACCGTATCGGATCGCCGAGCTACATGCCGACGGACCAGGACATTCTCCGGTCACGAGTCAAGACCACGGGTATCACTGAAACGTCGTTCAAGATTGGTTAGTCCCGGTTCTCTTTTTCTTGCCATCGCCGTTACTTTTACGCGCGTGATGATGTGGCGGAGTTTGGTGCTGACCGGTCATCTCTCCCTCCACTTCTTGCCGCGGTTCTTTTGTGCCTTGTTTTATGTCTTTTTCCGGAAACAGGCGAGCTCACGTACAAGATCTTCGACGTCGGAGGGCAGCGTTCCGAGCGGAAGAAGTGGATCCACTGCTTCGAAAACGTTACCGCCCTGGTGTTCCTCGTCTCGCTTAGCGAGTACGACCAGATGCTTTACGAAGATGAGAGTGTGGTATGTTTCATCCGTCGCGTTTCCAACTTGCTCCACGGCAGCGGCTAAGCTTTTTTCCCGAATTTCCCATCCCATAGAACCGTATGCAAGAAGCCCTCACGTTGTTCGACTCCATCTGCAACTCCCGGTGGTTCGTCAAGACCTCGATCATCCTGTTCCTCAACAAGATCGATTTGTTCGCTGAGAAGTTGCCCAACTCACCTCTGGGCGACTACTTCCCTGACTACACCGGCGGTGACAACTACGATGCGGCTTGCGAGTACCTCTTGCACCGGTTCGTGTCTCTCAACCAGAGCCCCCAGAGCAAGCAGATCTACGCGCATTACACGTGCGCGACGGACACGCAGCAGATCAAATGTAAGGGAATCCACGCAGCTGCTGTACACGGCGTTGATTGCTGACTACCCGTTCCCGTTTTACAGTCGTCTTGTCCGCAATCCAGGATATCCTGCTGCAACTCCATCTCCGGGAGTGCGGTCTGCTATAGGCAAAGACCGAGAATCGGGCCATCTTTTCTCTGTTGTACATCTCACTCGCCCTTGGAACTGGTCGTCTTATATATTCTTTAACCTTTCCACCCACCCAACCCACCTTCTCGGCTTCGTACACTCCCTCTCGATCTCTCGTTTTCTTTTGCTTATTATTCCTTGCCTTGTTTTACGCGCGCCCCCGGTCTCTCTTTCTATCTCTCTCTCTCCTTCCTTGCCTTGTTCTACGGTACATAACAGTCGCATTATTTTTTGTCGGTCGCCCACACCGAAATCACACCAATCATCATAACAACCTGGAGTTTTATCAAAAGAAACACGAAAAATCTTTGGACGGGACGTCGACGATGTGTGTGTGCACTTCGCCGCTTTCCTTGATTTTATATTCTTGGAGTGATAGGCTGCCTCCACTGATGGATGAGCTCCAACCCGGTCCTTGATGGGATGGGAGGGCCGAACCTCGTGTGTCCATTTTTCGAAGCCAAGCGCCGTCGTCAGTTCGGGCTTCGGTCTTGCCACGTCTCGAGCGGTCATTCGAAAACGAAGGAAGAAAAGAAAAGCCACCCCAAATTTTAGTAAGGGAAATTCTGAAGCGGGCTTTCTCCCATTCAGTTAACCCTTAGTTGGAAACATCTAGGGCCATCAAACTTGCGTCGAAGAGTGCGTGCTCAGGACCGGCGGCTGCTTCCCCACGCCGGGTCGCGATCTTCTAGTCCATGTGAGGGTACGGATGTGTGAAAAGATCGACAGAAGGATGTCGTAAAAGCGCACGCGATAAGCATAGATAGCTACGATGAATTCAATAACTGATGGGGAGGGTTGAGGTATTATTACAGAAGCGAACATGAAAAAAAAGTAGCAATAGGGTCGATTTCTGCGGTGTTCATTCACTGGCGTGATGGGCGCGTGAGTTGGGACAAGGGAGAGGGAGAGAGGTGGATAATGAAAAGCTTGTGGCTGGATGGTGCCGAGAGCGGCAAGTCGGACCGCGCAAGGCTAAAAAAACCGCGCAACGATGATCACCTTCTCTTTGGGTATTCTTTCTCCTTGTACTGCTCAGCGAGGTACCTGGATGGAGAGAGAAGATAAAGGACATGAGGTCAAGATTGAGGGTTTTGGGCTCTGGTTGCCTGATGATTACGAGAAACGAGGAGTACGTACCCTTCGCCGGTGAAGAGAGTGATGAGACCGACTGTCACCGCAGAGACCGTGCGCCTGTCCCAATTTGGCTTGTCCCAGTGAACATACGAGATGTATCCAACACCGCCGAGGATGCCAACGTTTACTACATGCGACAAGGGGTAAGGTGAGTGGGCTTTGATTTAATCGACTCTGAGGTAAATTTTTGACTCACCAACACCAACGATGCCACCGAGGACACCAGGACGCAGGACGATGTCCTTTGTCCTGCGGTACAAAGCGGCGCCTTCTTCGCGAGCACGACGTTCTTCCTCTTGACCCGCAGCGGTCTTTCTGTATGCTTCAGCGAGGTAGCCTTCGGCTCCAAGCAGGATCAGGCCGGAAATGCCAGCTGTGGCCAGAGCGCGAGTATCGCTGCGGAGGTGAGGTTTGTTGTAGAGCTCGTAGCCGGCCGCGCCAATGAGACCAACGTTGACTATACGAGTTCCGAAAAAGCTGTCAGAGATGATAATCTTCTCTTTAACAGGAAGTAGAACCGCGCACCGATGCCAATGAGACCACCGAGGGTACCAGGGCGAAGCATACGCTCCTTGACTTCTGCCCAAAGTTCAAGGCCCTCCTCTTCGGCCTCCTCGAACTTCTTCTTGATTTCCTTGGAGCGTCGTTCCCTCTCGCTCTGAGAGAACGGTGAATGGCCGTGCGCATGAGATGAATGACCGTGCGCATTCGAGGAATGACGCGGTTGAGGAGCGGGTTCGGGTGCGAGCGAATGGTTCAACGCGGAGGTTTCAGTCTGCAGGATAAAATCGGGGGTCTCTACTCTGTTTCTTCTCTTGCGCACAGAGCGAGAACCGGGTCAAAGAGGTGTGATACTCACCTCTGGATGGTCCTTGTAGCTTTGAGGGACTACCGTAACCTTCTTCTCAACGTCTGGGAGGCTGGTGTCGCCGTCGCGTTCGAGGTTTAGCAGGCCCGTGTCTGGGTGCGCCTGAGGGCCGTTGGTGTTGTGCTTTGCGATATCAGCGTAGGACATGGCTGAGAGTCAAAGAGTAGGGTATGAGGAGGAAGAGAGGAGTGGGTGAGTTGCGTCTTTTGGAGGTCGTCTGAGCTTTGAAGCAGTTCGGATGCGAACGGGGCCTTGTTATACTCCCAATTAGCCGCCACCTACGTCACCTGGTCAGCATGCGTCATAGCTCAGGGCATGAATGTCACACGCCACATCCCAAACCTTTTTCTACTTTTCCACGCGTACCAAATACGGACATTCGCGCCTCTTCGCCGCTCTGGCCAGGGCTCAGCATACATACA